AAAACAGGTGCAGCCACACGCCCACCACAGGGTCTCTGTACTGTTACAGGAAACGTGTGTGTGCTTGTTATATACAACTGTGTGCGGTACACATGTGATGTGCACATGTGTGATGTGTTGGGGTATTGTCTTATTACAATGTATGATGATTCATGTGGTGTGTACGTACAAGTGCGTGTGTGATGTGTATGACTGTGCGTGGTATGCATGTGTGATATGTACATATGTGTGCTGTGTTGGGGTATTGTGTGGTGTGTACATGTATGCAGGTGTGTATGGTGTATGCGTATATATGGTGTGTGTCAGGGTGTGGCGGGTACAGTGTGTGCATGAGCACAGCACTTCCATTGAGGGAACGGCACCCACGGGGGGCTTTCCCAGCTCTGCAGAGCTTGTGGGCATCATCCGTGCAGGGCAGCTGGGGCAAGAGGCTGTGGCCACCAGCAAGAGGCTGCTAGAGGACCCAGGGGGACATGATGTGCCCTACCTAAAACTTCCTCCCACTTGGGAGCCACCTTGCCAAGACCCCCCACACACACACACACCCAGTCATCCATAGTCATCCACAGTCACACACACAGTCACACATGAATAGTCATATACACAGAGACTTGCACACAGACACAGTCACACACCCACAGTCACACACATTGTCACAGACACACTCATGTACACACAGTCACACAAGCATAGTCACACACAGAGACTTGCACACAATCACACACACACACTCATGCATACAGACACAGTCACCCAGTCACACATGCATAATCATACTCAGAGACTTGCACACAGTCACANTCATTCTGAAGTCACTGCCCCTAGCAGGCCCTGTCCTCGGGGCCGCCCTCCTCCTGGCCTCTGCCTCTGTGCAAGCCAGAAGCCTGCCTGCCCCATGGGACAGAGGGGAGACTGTACCTCTGGAGGGGAGCCCTGATGGGCACAGGAGGCGTCCTCTTCCCAAACGCGCAAACAGATCCTCCTCAAGCATCTAGTCCCGGGAAGAGCTCGGCCCCGTCTGATGCCGTCAAGCAGAGCAGCGACCTGAAGTTGGCACAAGCTGGGCTGACAGGTCCCAGAGGTGCCGGGTCGCACACTGGGGCAGGGGGCCCAATGAGAACTCTGATCGGCATCCTGTTCCCATGAGGGCCAAGGTGCAGGGAACTGGTGGACGCACAGCCCTCCCCGCTGTAGACACACTGTACCCTGAGCCACCCCTGTGAGGGCCTGACTCTGAGTGAGGGGGCCAGACCCCCAGGAGGCGGGGCCAGACCCCAGGAGGCAGTGTCAGGCCAGAAAGTGGCACAAGGGCTCAGGAGGTGGAGTCAGGTGCCAAGGGGCGGGGCCATGACCCAGGGGTGGGGACAGACCAGAGCACCTGAACACCACATCCACCCCTTCGCTGACCACGCATGGGGACTGCTGGGGCTGGGCGTCCTTGGGGGACGGTGATAAAGGGCAGTATTCCTCCCAGGGCCTCACTTTCTAAAAGTAGGCCTGTGGAGTTCACTCCCTTCCAAGTCCTGACTTACCAGCTGTTCACCACCAATCTTTGCCCCTGTCCTTTCTCCTCCTTGGGACACCCCAGCAGGCCTCCCGTCCCCATGGAGGCGCACGGATGTTCTGCAGGTGCTGCTCAGTCGTTTTCCCTGGATCTCCCGGCGCTCGCATGTTCTCGGTGTCCTGGTTCTGCGTGGACTCTGCAGGCGTGTGAACCATGTTCAGGGTCTGCCCGGGCCGCGGCTGTCCCAGCTCACACGCTCTGTTTGCTCGCCAGGAGCTGGAGCAGCAGCTCATGATGGAGAAGAGAAACTACCGGAAGACTCTCAAGTTCTACCAGAAGCTCTTGCAGAAGGAAAAGCGGAATAAAGGTAAGGCAGGAGGACGGCAGAGGCGCTGGTGGGCTCGGGGGCCAGCGTGCCGACACCGCGCTGCCCCGCAGGCTCCGAGGTGAAGACCATGCTGTCCAAGCTGAGAGGGCAGCTGGAGGAGATGAAGTCCAAGGTGCGGTTCCTCGGCCTGGTCAAGAAGTATCTGCAGGCAAGTGGCCCCTCCTCAGCAAGGCGCTCGCCCCAGTTGGGTTCCTGCTGCCGGTCAGTCGGTCTCTGTGCGGTCACAGGAACCAGCCCTGAGTCGAGGGGCCCACGATGCTGGAAAGCCCCGCCACCCCTGGCGTCAGAGGCAGGGTGACCAGGTGCCCCCCTCCAGGTCATGTATGCGGAGCGCTGGGGCCTGGAGCCCTGCGCCCTGCCGGTGATCGTGAACATCACGGCAGCCCACTGCGACACGCTGGACTTCAGCCCCCTGGACGAGTCCTCCTCCCTGATATTCTACAACGTCAACAAGCACCCGTGCAGCGGCCGGCAGAAGGCCCGTATCCTGCAGGCCGGCACGCCGCTGGGGCTCATGGCCTACCTGTATTCCAGGTGCGCTGCCCAGGGGCCCTGTTCCCCTCCAACCCCGCCCACCGGCCTTCTGTGAGCAAAAGGGGAAAAAAGCCTATTCCAGAAAAAAAATAGGCCCCCGGAGCTGAACAGAGGGGAAAGTCCCCATTCCCTCGTGTAGGACAGGTTTGCACCTTTTACTAACTCAGGAAAATGTCTCGTCAGAGTTATAAGTCGACTGTGTTTGCTGCCACCTGCTGCTTGCTGAGGCGCTGCCACGGTGTCCTCAGAGGCACAGGCTACGCAGACTCCCCCGGTGGCTGAGGGTGTTTGGACTTCAGGGTGTGCCCAGCGGGCACCTGCAGGAGCCCTGGGGAATGCGGCCCTGCACAATTAACACGCCAGTAGCTTCCAAAATTAAACACACACAGGAGCCTCAGAGACACAGCCTGGATTCCAGCCAATTCACTAGGTCAAACGCTCCACAATTAACCATCTGGCCCCCCAGGGACACAGCGAGGTTAGGCAGCTGCCAGCTCCTGCGTGTGTAGTTTTGTTCATCAGACACCGAGGTGCGCACACTTGCCCTGCAGCAGGGAAGAGCTGTCGAATCCTCTCACCTCTACACAGGGCCATCAGCTGGGCTGGGGGAGCGGACCCCCGAGCTGCCCACCAGCACCCTCTGCCCTTCTGCCCACTCTGCCCTGAGTGGCCCCTTGCTCTCACCTCCTTCTCAGGCACCAGCAGCTCCCAGCAGGCTCTCTTGTCCTGATGGCCTGACCCTGTCCCAGGCATTGGGCCAGGGAGACCACCTTCCCAGTCAATGGTGGGTCTCCCTCCCATCCTGGCTTTTGAGGACTCTCATGACACAACTTCAGAGCTCCGGGGCCCTCTCTGAGCCAGAGGCTGTGGCAACCCCAGACCTGATCAGCAGGGGACGCCAAAGAGGACGGCTAAGGGGTGAAGGTTCCTGGCAGCCAGAGGGGAGTAGGGAGGTCCCACCACGGCGGCCCCTTCCCCACCAACCCCGTTCTCCCAACACACAGTCACCCACAGACACGCATGGTCACACACAGACACGCTCATGCACACACAGACACACACAGTCCACATGCATAGTCATACTCAGAGACTTGCACACAGACATAGTCACACACGCAGTCACACAGACACACTCATGCACACACATAGACGCACAAAGTCACACATGCATAGTCATACTCAGACTTGCACACAGTCACACACGCACAGACACACTCATGCACACAGTCACCCACAGACACGCATGGTCACACACAGACACGCTCATGCACACACAGACACACACAGTCCACATGCATAGTCATACTCAGAGACTTGCACACAGACATAGTCACACACGCAGTCACACAGACACACTCATGCACACACAGACAGTCACACATGCATAGTCACACACACAGACACACTCATGCACACACATAGACACACACAGTCACAGTCAGACATGTCCCGAGGACCTCATCTTTCTGACCATCAGTCATCGGGCTCCCAGATGTCACAGGCCAACGTGGAGACCCACGGGTGTCCCCGACACGAAGCCTCCTGGGGCAGCCCTGAGGGTGGGGACGCTCAAGAGGTGGCAGGTCGCTTGCCTGCCTGCCAGGGTCGCCTGGCGCAGCCCCTGCTCTGACATGGGGTCTCCACGGGGCCGGGTGTGTGTGCGGGAGGCGGGGGCGTCCCCGGTGCTTGCAGTCCCAGGTCACCAGGCTCCCTGGCCCACCCACAGCGACGCCTTCCTGGAGGGCTACGTGCAGCAGTTCCTGTACACCTTCCGCTACTTCTGCACCCCGCACGACTTCCTGCGCTTCCTGCTCGACCGCATCCGCGGTGCCCTGGCCAGGTATGGCCACCGCCTGGGCTGCAACAGCGAGGTGGCCCCTGGTGACCCTACCAGGGAGGAGGCGCAGGGTAGCCTGACTAGACAGGTGGAGCCACGCCTCAGGGGGATGCAGAGAGGAGTGGGCAGGAGGGGACGGAGGCCAGGCGTCCCTGTGCCCTGGGAGGTGACCAGTTGTGGGGGGTGCGGGCAGGACCCCTACCTACCGACGTGGGAGGAAAGCAGACAGTGGTGCAGTACAGGTGGCAAGACAGGTGAGAGCTGAGCCCCCCAGCGGGAGAGGGCAGCCGACAGGGGAGGGTCCTGCTGGCTCTTGGCCTCCCTCTGGAGGGCACGCATGGCTGAGAGGCTGGGGTCAGCAGGGAGGCATGGTGGGCTGGCAGCAGGTACCTGGCCTCTTCTCGAAGCTGGCCTATCATTACCCAGCAGAGCTTGCCCCTCACTCAGGCTGAGGCACCCCAGGCAGCCTCTGGCCATCAGCAGGTCACCTCCCACCTTGAGGGAAGGGAGCCACCAGAGACCCCACCCATTCCACCTTCCTCCTCACCTTGTGGAGCCTGGCCCCCACCCTGCCCCTTGGGAGAGCCCACACACTGCCCCCGGCCTCTGCCCTTTTCTCTTTCATGTCCCAGGCAGCTCAGACCTGCTCCCATCCACCTCCAGGGCCCACCAGGACCCCACGTCAACCTTCACCAAGATCTACAAGAGGAGCCTCTGCATCCTGCAGGCCTGGGTGGAAGACTGCTACACCGTCGACTTCACGAGGAACACGGGGCTGCTGGGGCAGCTCGAGGATTTCATCTCCTCCAAGGTGACCCTGCACCAAGCCAGCACCGGCCAACACTTGGGGCTCCCACAGTGGGAGACACTGCCCTCATCTGCCTCCCGCTTCTGGAGGTGGCAGTGACCCACTGTGCTTCTGCCTAGATCCTGCCCCTGGACGGCTCTGCCGAGCACCTGCTGGGTCTCCTGGAGGTGGGCATGGCCCGGCGGGCTGAGGGCACCCCTAGAGGTGCAGACCTGGAGGACATGAAGGAGGCCGAGGAGGACACCAGGCCCTTCAACACCCTCTGTAAAAGGTTCTCGGAGGACGGCATCTCCCGGAAGGTGAGGTCCTTTTCCAGTGGAGGACCTCCCTGGACAGGCAGGTGCACCTCCCTGAGCCCAGCCTCAAGGACATGAGCACATGCACACGTACACATATGTGTGCTGTGTGCACACACACACATACACACGTGTGTTCATGCATGCACATATACATGTCTGCGTGTACACGCACACATACATTTGCATGCATATGCACATCTGCACACATATTCACACGTGCATGCACAGAACTCATGCACACATACGCATGCCTATGTGTGCACATATAAATGTGTGCATGCACATATGTGCACGCTGCATGCACTGCACATACACATGCCCCGTGCACACATATACATGTGTGCACATATATGCACGGTGCATGCACTTCACACACGTACACACATGCCCATGTGCGCATATACATGTGTGTGCGTGTACACACGCATGTGTGCATGCACATATGCGTGCGTGTGCACATCTGTACACATGTAGCACATGCACTGCACATAGACATGCACTCACGTGCACATGCACCCAAATGTATACACGCACACATGAGCTCTCATGTCCCCACTCCCAGGCACCAACCCTGCTGGGCTGGCACTAACTGCCTGGCCTACCCACTGTGGGTAAGGACAGCTGAGGGGCTGACCAGGTCCTCAGATGAGGAGGGTCCTGCTGTGACTCACTTGACCCTCAGGCTGGAGACCAGAAGGATGAAACCACTGTGGGGAAATTTATGGCGTTTCCATTAACACATGGGACAGCCCCAGACTTCAGCGGTTATTTCATAGGGGAACCACTGAAATGATCAGGACAGGTGTACTCATGCCAAAACAGCCATGGGCAGGAGGGATTTGCTCTCTGGCTTAGAGGAGCCAGTCTGAAGGGTCCTCAGCTGCCCCCACGGCCCTGCTCTGGATGGGATGACCGGTCGCGCCCCTCAGTGTGACCTGTCCTACCCTGCAGAGCTTCCCATGGAGGCTGCCCCGGGGCAACGGGCTGGTGCTGCCACACCAGAAGGAGCGCCAGTACACCATCGCGTCTGCCCTGCCCAAGCCCTGCTTCTTTGAGGACTTCTATGGCCCCTATGCCAAGGCCAGTGAGAAGGGGCCCTACTTCCTGACCGAGTACAGCACCCACCAGCTCTTCAGCCAGCTGACACTGTTGCAGCAGGCGAGTGGGGTCCACCGCCAGGTGCATGGGTCTGGGGGAGGCCCCAGGAGGGGCTTGGGCTCTGGCTAAGCCAGCACAAGGCACACTGGCCCGCTGCCCACTCGGCCCCAGCACTCCCACCTCACGTGTGCTAGGGGGCCTGTGGGCTGCCCTGGGCGCTGGGCCCCTCCCTCTGGAGCTCCTTGTGCCCCTGCCCTGTGGGGTGCCTTCCCGACTCCTCCCTCTGCACCCAGCCCCCAGGCAGCCCCTTCCCGGGTCCCCCTCCCCTGGGACCTCATGTCACACGGCAGCACGTGATAGCAGTGATGGTGACCTGCAACCCCCTGTTGTCATCAGGACTGGCCGGGTGCCTCAGGTCCTGGGGGACAACAGGGGGAACCCTGCAGCTGAGCACCGTGGTCCATAGGGTGGGTGCCAGACCAGGAATTGCAGAGACAGCCTCCAAAAGCCCCAGCCCCCCCAGGACACTGCCTTGCCCCAGAGGCCCCTGGGGCAGTGCCTGAACATCTGCTTCATGTCTCTGCAGGAGCTGTTTCAGAAGTGCCACCCCGTCCACTTCCTGAACTCGCGGGCCCTGGGTGTGGTGGACAAAAGCACCGCCATCCCCAAGTGTGTGTCCACCACGGGCCACCTGGGCTGGGTTTGGAGGGTCGGTGGGAGGTCTCAGGGGCCTCCTCTAAGGTCTCAGAGATGCTGTTGGCTCCCACACACTCCAGCCTGAGCCCCTGCAGCCCCAGGGCCGGGCAGGGACACCATTGCATCCGAGTGACCCGCATCGCGGTTTCTTCCAGAGCCAGCTCTGCCGAGTCTCTGTCAGCCAAAACCTGCAGCTTATTTCTGCCCAATTACGTCCAAGATAAGTACCTGTTACAGCTTCTAAGAAATGCAGATGACGTCAGCACCTGGGTAGCTGCCGAAATTGTCACCAGCCACACCTCCAAGGTGGGCACCTCCGAGGCTCTGCCATCAGAGCGGGTATGGGGTCCACTGCTTGGGCTGGGCAGTGACTCCCATGGGACCAGAGTTGATACTTTCTCCAGGTGCTGGGACCCACGTGTCCCAAGGAGCCACACCCAGCCCACAGCACAGGGGAGAAGCAGAGCCACAGCGTTCACTGCGCTGTGGACACAGCTGGTCGTCAGCCACACCAGCAGCTCCCTGCGGGTATGACTGTCACATCTCCAGCCTGACACCTGCTCCACCCTCTGCTGGGGACGCTCCTCAGCTATGGGCCACTGGGAGCCACCTGGAGGACCAGGACAGGCCTCCCCACTCCACGGAACCCCCACACAAGTTTGTGTTCATGCACACAAGGACACACACACACAGTCACACAGTCATGCACCAAGACGCACACACAATCACATACAGTCACACACACCCAGACACATGCACAGAGTCACACACACCCAAACACACACACGCAGTCACACAGTCATACACACACACGTACAGAGACACACACGCAGAGTCACACACAGTCATATACAGTCATACACACAGTCACACCCAGACACACATGCACACACAGTCACACACACACCCAGACACACACATGCAGTCACACACAATCATACACACACACGCAGAGTCACACACAGTCATACATGGTCACACACAGTCATCCACAATCACACATCCAGACACACACACACAGAGACACATACAGCCATGCACACACTATCCCCCCACAGTCACCTGCACATGTGTGCACATACAGTCACCTGCTCACTGTCACCCACACAGGGCTCAGCCAGGCCACACCCCCCAGGCCTCCTGTCACCCCATCACCGCAGTGCCTGAGCCTTCCCAGGGTTGGGCTGTGTGGCTCCCGCCGTCCCCCTGCCTCGAGCTCCTTGAAGGCAGCGACTGTCAGGGTCCTGCTCCCTCCCCAGAAGATGGTGCAGTGTGGGTCCCAGCCCTTCTAGGTCTGGGCCTTGGGCTGGCCTGGGGGCATCAGCCTGACCTGCCCTTCCTGCTCCCAGGCAGGGAACCAGGCAGCCCAAGGCGGGTCACCAGCCCCTGGCCAGCACCTCCCTACAGGTGCCCACCCGCCCTGGAGGACAGGCCAGAGGGCCCACAGTTTCTCGGGAGGACCGAGTCCCCCTAACCCTGGGGTCTGCACCTCCACCCAGCAAACTCCCTGTTACAGAGGGCTCTGATTTCCTCACACCTGAGGTCTGCATGGCTCGGCCTCCCTGGGCCGGGGGTCCCCAGGCTCCTTCCGTGTAGTGCAGTCCCTTCCCCCGTGGCAACACGGCCTTAGCCTGCAGGTGGGCTCACCTCCTCCTAGGGCAGCTGCCTGCAAAGATGGATAATGGTGAGTGTGGAAGCAAAACAGGATTTGGATTTCATCAGATATGTTTAAAGTGATGGAACACAACAGTCAAGAGGGAGAGGCCCACATCCGTGGAGGGGCACAGATAAAACACAGTGTATACAGACCTTGAGACGTGACTCGGCCTTAAGAAGGAAGGACGTTCTGACACGCTAAACACGGATGCCCCTGGAAGACGTTTGGATGAGCGAAATGAGCCAGACCCAAAAGCGCAAATGCTGTATGATTCCACATGCACGGGTCCCTGGAGTCATCGGTGTCACAGAGGCAGAAAGTGCGATGGGGCTGTCAGGGTGGGGGGTGCGCAGTTAATGGGGACAGAGTTTCAGTTTTGCAAGATGAGAAAATTCTAGAGCTTGGTTATACGACAATATGGATGTCGTTAACGCCACTTAAAAGTGGTTACAAGACTAAATTTTATATTATGCGTTTTTACAATTAAAAAACACAATAAAAACAAAAAAAGTGATGGAACAGTTTTTGCTGAAAGTGCTAGAAATTACAGACTTTACAGCTGTGCAAGCCTATGAAGAAAATACTGCGAGGTCAACTTAGAAAGCAAGGGCGGGAAACGTTTCCCAAGGTCCTCAGAGCACTGGGGCCGGACGGCTGGGAGGCCACAGCCGAGTGACCTCAACTGCACTGGACAACACAGACAGGCCTGAGCCCAGGGACACATGGCCAATGCTCCCACCTGAAGAATGGCCCTGGCGTGGTGACGGTCCTCAGGGAGGCAGCTCTGAAATGAGGGGCCTCTCCTGAATTCTCCAGAATCTTCCAGAAATCTCTGGAAGAAGGTCCTTGAACACAGCTCCTTGGTACTGCTCTGAAAAGGTGTGAGAATCCCGTTGGATGCGGCACATGCCACCCAGGGGACATTCCTCGTAAATCCAGCAAATTCAACACTGCCAACCAAGGAGCTAGGGATGAAGCAGTGGGATTCAGGGACCACATCCTGGACTGCCCCTATCTGCTTCTGGGCACGTCGGTTCCATCTTCCTGTCTTCCTGTCTTCCTCGGTAGGGCACGTTGCTAGGTCCTGAAGCTGTGTCCCTCCCACCCGTCCCAGTCCTCGTGCTGTTGGGAGCCTGGGAGGTCTGTCCTGGTGTGATGCTGCATTTGAGAAGTGAGGCTGGACTTCCTTTCAAATCTCTCCACTTGTGGGCATCACCTTTCTGTTTTGTTGCAAGCAATGCCCATCCCATTCTGCCACCCCAGGACCCCTCCCCGCCATGTCCCAGAGCCTTGTGTCCACCCACCCACCTCCTTCTGGCACAGACGATGTGGCACATGCTGTTCCGAGCCTTGCAGATGGGTTATTTTAACTTTCTCCAAGTTCTCTATTCCTCTTAAACCAGAGGACACCAAATCTGTGCTTTTCTTGTTTCAGTTGCAGGTGAACTTGCTGTCCAAATTTCTGCTGATTGCAAAGTCTTGCTATGAGCAGAGGAACTTTGCGACGGCCATGCAGATCCTGGGCGGGCTGGAGCACCTGGCCGTGCGGCAGTCCCCGGTGCGTCCACCTCTGGGATGCAGGTGGGGGTGTAGGCCACATGGCTGCAGGGGTCTCACCTGTGCTTCTCTCTAGGCCTGGAGAATTCTACCTGCAAAGATAGCAGAGGTCATGGAGGAACTGAAGGCCGTGGAGGTACCAGCACTTCCTGCGAGCTTCTCCCGGCAGCTGCGTCCACCTGGCGCTTCTCCTTGAGGACTTGCTCGGCACACCTCGGGGGTGCTCAGGCAGCTGGGCCTGCATTGTGGCCCCCCCAGACATGGTGCTCGTGCAGCTGTGCATGGTGCAGCCTGGCCGGTGTAGCCTCGCTGTGGGACCCCAGCTGGCCTGCTGGTCACGTGACCTGGCTGCTGTGACTTCTTGGCACAGGTCATAGTGCCCAGAGTACAGGACTGAGGTCTGCAGCTGGGGCCTCCTCCAGGAGTGCAGCGGTGGCCATATGAGATAAATGAGGAGACGCTGCTCAAAGTGACTGGGCATTCCCCAGGATGAGGGTGCAGGAACTTGCTGCCATCACAGCCAGTGGCAGATGCCCCAGAGCAGCCACGGCCTGGCCCAGCCACATGCCCTAGCCACAGCTCTCCCTGGCGGGAGGGCAGGTGTGGGTCCTCACTGGACACAGACCCAAGGCAGCAGCTGGCCAGCCCAGGTGTCGCTTGGGGAGGTTGAGTCACCCAACTCTGCCCTGGAGCCCAGCAGAGAATAAGGAAAGGGATTTGCCATTTCAGGAGCATGAGGAAAAAGCGTCGGTGGTCACGTTGTGCCAACAAGCTTAAAATTCTGACTTTTGACCCACAGTCCAATAATCCAAGTACATTTTGGATTGGAAGTGCTGTGGAGGCCTTGAATCTGGAAGACAGGCTCCAGCTGGGGTTAGCAGGCTGAGCCGGCCCGTCTGAGCCTCCTGCACTGACCACTCCTGTCTCTCCTCTGCCCGTTCCAGGTCTTCCTGAAGAGTGACAGCCTGTGTCTGATGGAAGGACGCCGCTTCCGAGCCCAACCCACCCTGCCCTCAGCCCGGCTCCTGGCCATGCACATCCAACAGCTGGAGACGGGGGGCTTCACCATGACCAATGGGGCCCACAGGTGGAGCAAGCTCAGGTGAGGAGGGGGCTTCAGCATGACCACAGGCCCTCAGGTGCAACGGGCTCAGGTGACGAGTGTCACCTGCCCATCACTCAGCCTTCACCGGCCCTAGGACCTTCATGCTCCCTCTACCCCGGGTGACCTCCAGCCACCTGCAAATTTAGTCCAAGCATTTCCTGCACCCCTGGTATCCATGATCCCAAAAAGCTCCCTGGTGACAATCCTGTTTGAGACCCAGGCACACCTATGACACCACCTCCACGGGTGTCTGCAGCCCAGAGGCCACCCAGAATGTGACCTGTCCCTTCTGCCTCCAGGTGCCACATGGTCCCTGCTCTCCCTGCCACACCTGCTACTCCTTGGGCCACCCAGGCACACCTATGACACCACCTCCACGGGTGTCTGCAGCCCAGAGGCCACCCAGAATGGGACCTGTCCCTTCTGCCTCCAGGTGCCACATGGTCCCTGCTCTCCCTGCCACACCTGCTTCCTCTCCCTAGAGCCGTCCATCTAGGACCCACGGTCAGTCCTCGGCCTGTTCCTGTGGTCCCACCGTTCACCTGCCCAGCACCACCTCCAGGGACCCAGGTGACCCAGGCACCCCACGCACCCCCTGGAAGGCAGAGACTAGGGGCTGGTTATAAAATCCACCACCGTGACCCACCAGGGCTGCCCACTCCAGTCCACAGAGAACCATGTCTCTCGTTTCTGTCTCGTTTCTGCCTTGGCACACTAGGCCGTCCCTTCCTCGCAGGCTCAGGCCTGTGTTCGAGGTGCCTCCAGGTGCCCACAGCCCAGACACTCTCCAGGCCTGCAGGCTGGGCTCACCTTCGCCCAAACCCCACCACTTCCCACCCTCCCATCTCTTCTCTCCTCTCCCTCCATCATCCACACTGGCGGTCAGGTGGAGCTTGGTCAGGCGACAACCCAGCTACACACCCCCAGGGTCGGGGCAGACAGCCCGCTGGTGGACAAGGCCCAGAGGACCTGGCTCCCAACCTACTAAATGCAAGGTCCCATTTTTGAAAAGCCCCCGACTTAATAAGAAGTAATGTTTAAGACACACCACAAATGTGTGTTTATTATAAGAAATCAGAAAACCCATGTCAGCAAAAAGGAACCTTAACTCGTAATGTAATGCCACAATCTAGAAAGAACACAGGCTAAGATTTAGTTTTTACTCTTCTTGACTCTTTTTTATATGTGTGTACGTATATATACACGTTTGTCCTTTAGTTAGCAAAAACGTCACTCGTACTGAACATACTGTGTCTTCATCCAAAATCGGGTGGGGACCACCCACGTGCAGAGCCTGCGCAGGCCTCCCCCGGCCAGAATCGAGGCCTTCCGCTCTGAGTCTCGGTTTTCCAGGAAAACACCCAGCAGTGTGCTGGTCACTGCTTAACGACTAGTCCTCCAGGGGACAAGCCCTTGCTCCCACGTCTGTGACTCCCGGGCGTTGTAAGGGCTCCTGCCGTGGCCACTCTCCCCCTGCACACATGGCTGCGCAGCTCAGGGACCCCGTGGCCGCCTCCTCCTCTTCTGAAGTGGGAGCCCTGACGGGCGGCACTGGGTTTATTCGTGTTGGGATCCTTAGTGCCAACCACAGCTGGACACNCCGCCTCCTCCTCTTCTGAAGTGGGAGCCCTGACGGGCGGCACTGGGTTTATTCGTGTTGGGATCCTTAGTGCCAACCACAGCTGGACACAGTAGGTTTTCAATAAATATTTGTGGACTGGACAGTGGGTGGATGGACAGATGGACAGATGGACAGGCCTGAGCAGTGAGAAGAGGTGGCCTTGAGACTAATGCAGAACGTCCACCCTTCAGTTTTGTACTTTGAAAAGGTTTGGTTCACGCGATTCCTGAGAACACGCCAGGAATCCATGAGCTTCAGCACGTGGCTCCTTGTGACTTATGCAAACTAATGTCCTTTTCTTTCCCCCACAAAAGGAACATCGCCAAGGTGGTGAGCCAGGTGCACGCCTTCCAGGAGAATCCCTACACGCTCAGCCCCGACCTCAAGCTCCAGTCGTACCTCAAGCAGAGGATTGCTCGGTTCAGCGGGGCCGACATTTCCATCCTAGCGGCCGACAACAGGGCCAACTTCCACCACATCTCCAGCGAGAAGCACTCCCGGAAGATCCAGGACAAATTACGGAGAATGAAAGCCACGTTCCAGTAACCGAGGACCAGGGTCTGGGTGTGCAGTTGCGACACGGATCAGGCCCGCGGGGAGGCGGCTGGGGCAGAAAGGGGCCTCGCCTCGCGGACACCTGCGTGCTGCTCAGGGTTGCACACACTGGTGAGGCTGCTCTGCACCCAGCCCTGAGGAACGTGGGTTTTCACTAATTTGGGATTAGTAGGTGGAGGTTCAGGGGGACCCACCCAAGGCCACTCCACAGGGAGAGGCAGAGCTGGGCTCACACCCAGGCCCAGAGGCCAGGAGCTGACCTCTCTTCCCAACAGACAGAGCCAGGATGGGCACAGAGTGTTGGAGATTTGTATGTTTCGGCTAGAACTAAAAGATTAAATTTCAAAATGAAAATGAAAATGGAGTAAATAGACTTCCCCAGAGTTTCATACCTGTCTATGCTTCTTATAGACTAATGGCCTCTCCCAGTTCTCCAGTAATCCCCTCACCCGAAAAAGACCCAACACCCAACCACCCCTGATTCAATAGAGTCCACCCTATGTCTGCTCAGCAGCAAAGGACCAAAACTGACCTCTTGAGCCCACACTCCAACCACGGGCCCAAGAGTTCCAAAACTTCCATTGGAGCCCCTGAGGTTTCCAATGACCTGAGCCCCAGCCCGGGTTCAACACACACCCACCCACCCCCACCCAGAACTCCCCCTCTTTTCCACTGCCCAGTCCTCCCTACTCTTCCCCAGCCCAGATCCCCCAGGAGCCTGGCACAGCCATGAGCGAGGGGTCACCTGGGCTGGACACCCTCTCTCCTCCCTGTGCCTAGTACCCACGCCCCCAGCTTAGGACTGATGCTGGGGAGACAGCTGTGCCCAGCAAAGCTCTGCTTCCCAGGAAAGGGCATGGGCCACTAGCAGCAGCTCCAAACAGATGTCACCTCTGCGGGCCCCCCTACCTGAGCGGCGGCCCACAGGCCACTGCCCACTGCCTCCAGCAGCCGTGCATGCACAAACCGCGCCCCCAGCTCCCACACCTGCTGCACCCCATGGCTTCGTCAGACAGATGCCCTACCTGAGCGGCGGCCCACAGGCCACTGCCCACTGCCTCCAGCAGCCGTGCATGCACACACCGCGCCCCCAGCTCCCACACCTGCTGCACCCCATGGCTTCGTCAGACAGATGAGGACGTGAAGTTTGCTGCCTCAATGGTACCAAGCCCTTCCCTGAAGTCGATGGTCTCCAAACAGGTGGGGTTGAGCGTTTGCTCAGTGACTGGAGGAAGCCCCTCTGGGCAGGGTTCGAAACAGGATGGCTGCGGCAGGTCTAGGGAGCCTTCCTGGTCAGATCCCCACACTGGCCTCTCCTGGAACAGGAGGCCGGACCCCTGGCTGCCATCCCAGGTACCGCAAGACCCAAGATTGTTCTTTTGTGTTTTAGGATTAGTGATTGTTTAGAGCAACGAGCTAGTGGCAATTCTAGGAAAACTTGCTTGTGAGAAAACGCCAAATTTTTAATGTCAACATGTGTTTCCCCACATAAATTCACAGGAGACACCCAGGCCCTGCTTAAATGTAACATAAGAAGAGCTCACATCCTGGCCATGCTAATGTGATTCTTTTTTTAGGCTTTTATATGAAGATTTTGTTCTGCCGATCAATTCTACATGTTTAGATTTTGTATCTAACAAAGTTAGCGTCCAGCGCAAATCAACATTTTGATTGTAACGACTCATTTTGTGGGACCCAGCTTTTGGCTTCAGCAGGAGTGTTTGCATGGCGCCCTCATGTCATGTGGTTTCTAAATAAAATCATTTCTAGCAAGCTGCTTGTCTGTGGCTCCTTCTGTGGGCTGGGGTGATGCCTGCTTTGTAGGGTAAGAAGGTCCCCACGGAAGAGGACCACTTTACAGGCACTTCTGAAGACTCAAGGTGCGAGGCAGCTCAGGTCCGAAAACTAAGCTGCCGGGTCCAGCGCTCCCTCGACGGCATGGAGAAAGGGTCCAGGTCTGGAGATGTGTTTCTAATTCAGGCCCACCAGGAGAACTGAAACCCCAAAACTCCCAGGCCCATGAGACAAGCAAATCTACCCTGCTGTTGCAGGAAATACTTGCTTCTGGTGGAGACTGCAAACTGCCTGAAATAGCTGGGTCATTAAGGCCACACTGCCGGCCACCCATCCCAGGAGGCTGTGGCCTCAGCGCTCACCAGCCAACTCCCCTCCTGGCAGCCTGGGCATCACCCACACAAGATGGACCTGGGTCCGCAGTGACTTCGCCAGAGCTGCAGCCCCATCTCAGAGAGGGATGTGGGGGGGCTGCTCATGAGGGGCTTGGCTGCCACTGGGAAAGGACCCTGATGTCACAGTTTAGGCTAATGGATATTACAAAGGGAGGGGTTTAAGGCCAGGGACTCCGAGAGTTTTGGGGTGTAAACTGTTGGTGCTTTCTGTGGAAGAGCCGACAGGTCTTGCGGGAAGCTCCTGTGATGAACAATCTGTCTGTGCAGGAGGAGGGAGTCAGGTTATGCAGAAGACAATGAAACAGCCAAGTCACGCTCACGGGGCAGGAGCCGATGTGGGCAGGTACTGTGGCGCCCAGGCCATGTGTGCTTGGGTGGTTTTGGTCCTCACCTACCTCAAAATCACTGAAACCCTAGTCCTCTTCCCCAACTTCCCCTACTGAGAAGCTATGCGGTGGGGTCTCCCTTGCCTCGGTGGGTCTTTACTAAACTTAGCTCTGCTGACCCACGGAGTTGACTTGTGGAGCACTGACAGCCAACGGCCCCTTGACCCCCCAGGAAAGCCCCACTTCCCAGGTTCCCACTCACATGCCACCCTCCTGTGCTGACAGAGTCCAGCCCCACTGCTCCAGGAGACGCCACTACCACACAGGAGGACTACCTGAGACCAGCACACCGAGAACAAGCCCAAGGTGACCACGGGTGGGCTTTGTGGAGAGTGGGGGACGCCCCATCAGACCCAGCTGTCCCAGCCAGCCCAGCCCACTTAGAGAAGGTATAAGAGACCCTGACAATAGCCAGGCCATAGCCCCAGAAACAGCACCCAGGAGAGCCAGCCCAGCATTGCCAGCCAGAGGCACCCTCACCTGCCCCAGTCACAGGAGACACAGAGGAGCGGAGAAGGTCCTCGTCCCCAGTCACAGGAGACACAGAGGAGCGGAAGAGGTCCTCGTCCCCAGTCACAAGAAACACAGAGGAGGGGACAAGGTCCTCGTCCACAGTCACAGGAGACACAGAGGAGCGGACGAGGTCCTCGTCGAGGCTCCTGAACCACAGAATCACCACATAACAAAGCAGTGGCTGGCCCTCACCAGGCAGTGGCCTGCCACACCCGGGAGATCACTAATATGCTGGCTGTGCAACGTCAGGCTGCTCAGTGCCCCTCTCTGAGACTCGGCCGCCGATCTGCAGAAGTGGCTTGTGGCGGCCAGCCCAGAGGCTCAGAAGACATAAGCTGCTCCCGCTGCCGCTGCCTACACTAAAAGCTGAGCACGCAGGGAGCCTCCTGATGCACCTCGCCCTATCACTCCAGCCTCGCTCCGTCCCCTCCTATGTCAGCTTCTACACAATGTGCTCACACAGGGATTCCTGGTGCTGTTTCCCAGGGGATGCTCAGGAAAGTGGGCGTCCACCCTGCCTGCCCCCAATCCTGAAGCAGTGGCCTGCACCACAGCTGCCCCATCAGCAAAAACATCCCTCTGCAGCCCACCCCTCCTCCCCGCCCCTGGCAGCCCGTCCCTGTAGTTTTGCGTTCTCTGGAATGTCCTACAAATGGATCATATGGGATGTAACCTTGGGATCTGGTGCTTTCACTGAGCAAAATGCAGTTAAGACTCACCCCTGTTGCTGCAGGGGTCAAAGGTCACATGGATGCCCCAGGTTGTGTTTGCCCAGCACCCGTCAAAAGGACATCTTGGCCACTTCCAGGTTTTGGCAGTTATGAATAAAGCTGCTGTAAACCATGTGCAGGTTCTTGTGTGGACGTAGGTCTTCAGCTCCTTTGGGTAAATACCAAGTGGCGTGATTGCTGGGTCATCCGGTGAGAGTACATTTAGTTTCATAAAAAACCACCATTCTATCCCCCACGTGGCTGTGACACCTTGCACTCCTGCCAGCGACGATGTGCGCCCCTCCTCCCCGCCCTGCCTGCATCTGCCGGCCGTGCTGGTGGCATCCCGGACCGATGGGTGGCTCTACTCTGTACTTCCCTGATGACAATGGTGGTGAGCATCTCTCCACGTCCCATTTGCCATCTGGGTGTCTTCTTTAGAAAAGGCCACATCTTCTCTCCGTTTATGGTTTATGGGGTCGTTCTCTACGGTACAGGAGCGTAGATGCACAACTCTGTGCGCTTGTTAAAACCCATGGAGCCTGGCGCGCTTCCTTGGTTTCAGTCTGGAAAATCTTTGAGAAGTCGGGCAGATCTGTCTCTCACAGGGATTCAGGTCCGCAATCCTGGCACTGCTTCCCACGCACACTGAGGTTGTAGATGAGAGAGCCAGGCCACCACTGTCCAGAGAGAAGCTCAGAAAAGCCAGTGAAGGCAAGAAGGGACGGGAAGTGCTGGGAGAGCATCTCAGACCTCATGCACACACGCATTCATCCTAACAGGACACAGACTCAGAAATAAACAGAGATATGTGCACACAGGAGTTAGAACACACACACACCTCCAGACCCTCCACCAAAAGGCCTCAGCACAGGGCTTCTCAGCCACCCACCACTGCCCCGGGGGGCGGTCATTCCCCGTGCACTGCAAGCTGTTCAGCAGCATTGCCTGTCACCACCCCCAGATGCCGGAAGCACTGCCCAACCCCAGGTATGACAACCAGCAATGCTCAGACATTGCCAAACATCCCTCCCAAGAACCACTGGCCTAGAAATAGTGACAGCTGGCACACCCTCTACCCAGACAGTGGTTCCCCATACTATTCTCCAAAAAAATGAACCACAGATTTTTTGAGAAATGGCTGAACAGCTGATTCCAGGGCTGGGGCTGGCAAAAAGAAAGTGCTTTGAGGGGGAGGGGGACGTATCACTAGGACAGAAAAAGAGGAAAAGACCTGGGAAACACTCCAGTGGTCAAAGCTGGAATAATCTGAGCAAAAAAAGGATAGCACTGCGTTACGACATGAAGGACAAAATACACATCCACGAATCCACACTGACAGGAGCAAGTGCTGCGTGAGGAAACACGTGGGGAAGGGGAGACAGAGCCTGCTCCTCCCGGAGGTGGAGCTCAACACCCTCCCGAGTGGGGACGGACTCAGTGACGGGACGGTGGAGAGCCTGGCAGACACAACCCTAACCAAGCACAGGGATCACCATCACATTCTGAGCCAGCACCTCCCCTCTGGGGGACCCCAGTCTAGTCATGGAAAACACCAGGTAAGCCCAAATTGAG